CTCTCTCTCTCTCTCTCTCTCTCTCTCTCTCTCTCTCTCTCTCTGTGTCTCTGTCTTTCTCTGTTTGTCTCTTTCTGTATGTCTCTGTCTTTCTCTATCTCTGTCTGTCTCTGTCTCTCTCTGTCTCTCTTACTCTGTCTCTCTCTGTCTGTCTGTCTTGCTCTCTCTGTGTATGTTGTTGTTGTTGTTTTAGAGACAGGATTTTACTATGTAGCTCAAATTGGTTTAGGATTCAGATATCAGCCCACCTCCGCCTCCAAGTGCTGGGACTTAAAAATTTACACCACCACACCTGGCTCCAAACCATTACTTTATATGCTAATGTGAAAAAGTAATTAAAGAAGTTTCAAACAAACCCTGATTATAAATTCTCCAAGTGTAAGAGGATATCTCTGGACTTGGATTCTTCATCTGTTCCCCACACCCTGTCTTTGTCCTCATGCAGATCTTTCTCTGGGTCTCAGCTTCAGTGTCACTTCCCACTAGGCCTTGGTTGATCACTCTAGGAAGGGTCATCCATTATTCTCCTTCTTAGATCATAAACACTTCTAGTTCTTTCGATTTCTTGCCTGCCTTTCTGATAAGTGCAGTTGGCCTTGTTTGCGTACGTGCAGCAGACACTCACTGTCTTCCTTATAAGAACAAATATTCATATTTATTTTTCCACACTTCCTGTTATTACTTTCATGTGGACTCGAAATCATGAATCACCTTTGCACTTCCTCCCAGTGCCTGCCATGACACCTTACAGACAGCACAGACCTGAGTTAATCATTCAAGGATGGAGAAGCCCTGTCTTTGCACACCTGACTTACGGGAAGCCCTACCCCCTCTACTGTAGACTTAGTAGACACAGTATAACATGGCTCTTTCAGCTTTCTGAATCACCCTGTACATTCAGTTTTCGGTTTCGATTTAGACTTCCTCATCTGTTGTTCCACATGGAGGCAATGTTCTTTAAAAGCCAACTATCTGAAAGACTTTGGAAATTAACCCTTCAGGGATGAGAAAGAAGTTCGGTGGTAAAACATTTACCTGCCATGTGTGGGGCCCTGGGTTCAAACCACACAGCTCCACAAAGAAAAAGGGGAAAAACGATAAAAGAATATTCAGCCTTCTCTATTGGGTAGAGAGACCTGACAGGGAAATATGTACAAGGCAGACAGGGAGGAGTCAGCTTTGGCTTCCACCATGACACTCCTGAAGCTTCAGGTTGTGTATCTGCTTGGCAAAGGCCATTCTTATTCACAGGCATTAATGTGCAGATCTGGCTGAGAACAGAAGTTAAATGGAAGCCAAATGAGGATAGATGCTTGCTCAGGCCTTCTGAAGCAGAGGGGAGTTAGAGATCGGGATCCTAGGGCTGAGGATGGAATCACAATGTGTAGACAGCAGGATGATGGGATGGGTGAGGCCACTCCACAGGAAACATTGAATGACCTGAACTCATTTTAAGGATATGACATCATAAGGAAATATCAGAACCGTTCAACTTCAACATCCCCAGATGACGCAGATTTCTCTAGCAAGATTAGCAGGTGTACAACGTATGCCTTTGACTCATCAATCGTCTGAGTAACTGACAAGAAAATGCCAGTGCCAAGGAGGAGATTATGGCATGTGTGAGGGCCTTGAGTTCAAACCCTAGAACTATTTTTTTTTTTACAATTAGATTTTAAAAAGAAAAAAAAGGAAGAAAAAAAAAAGAAAGAACTAAGGTTTGGAAAGAAAAAGATGGAGCCTAGTAAGAAGTGTTGGGTTAGGGCAAAACGGTAGAAAAGGAAAAGCTAAGTATGGCAACATGTCTGTAATTCCAGCACCCAGCAGACTATAAGGCAGGAGGATTGCCATACATTACAGATAAATTGGGACTACAGAGTAAGGTCCTGTCTTGAGAAATACAAACAAACAATGGGGCTGGAGAGATGGCTCAATGATTAAGAGCACTGACTGCTCCTGCAGAGGACCTGGAGCTCAGATGGGAGTCCACAACTGCTTGTAACTCTAGTTCCAGGGGATCTGATGATTTTTTCTGGCTTTCTCATATACCAGGCACGTGTGTGGTGCACATGCAGGCAAAGCACTTGTACATGTATAATAAAAATAAATTAAATTATACAAATAAAAAAACAACAACAACAAAACCTGCCCGTGTTGCAAATATACAATTCTTAAAACGGTTTAACATGGTGAATCTGGTGGCATATGCCTGCAATCTAGTTACTCTGGAGGGGTATAAGCAAGGAGATCAAAAGTAAGATTCTGTCTCAAAATAAAAAGTAAAACAGAAGACTGTATACTTAGCACAGCATGCTTACCTTGTATGTATGTACAAGATCCTAGGTTCAATCTTTATCCTGGGTACTATGGGAGGAAGAGGAGAAGGAGAAAGAGGAAGAGGGTTGGCACACAGGCAGGATATATGGAATAATGGGGACAGGACAAGATCTATATGGAACATTCAGTAAATGGTTGTGGGACAGTTTGCCATAATTTGGAAAAGGTAAAGTTACATTTCTACCTTACACTTTCACCAAAATATCTTGGATTATTTTAACTTCTCCAAAATACATGCTAAAATGTACCCATGACGTTCTGTGTAACCTAAAAACAATAATAGCCTGTGAACAATCCAGTTTTCTAACTTTTGGTCTGTTCATGGGGTCGGACAGAAGGCAGTTGTTGAAAGATGTTCTAGAGATCTGGATGCCTTGATGGGAAAAATGGGGAAATGTTCAAAACATAGGAAAAGATAGAGGGAGCTGGAAAGGCGGCTCAGCGGGTAAAGGCACTTACTACCAAGTCTCATAACCTGAGCTAGGTCTTCACAACTCACATGGTAAAAGGAGAGAACTGACTTCACAAAGTTGTCCTCTGGCCTCCACTTGCAAGCCATAGCACATCCCTACCAACACAGCATATAGACACACAATAGTTCACTGTTGTTTTATCTTTTGAAGTACTGAGGATTGAACCCACGGCTTCATTCATGTCAAGTAGGACTCTACCTCTGAGCTACATCCCTAGTGATTGTCTCTCTGATTCTGTCCCTCTCTCTTGTGAGTGTGTGTGTGTGTGTGTGTTTAAAAAGACTATTCAAGGGCTGGTGAGATGGCTCAGCAATTAAGAGCACTGACTGCTCTTCCAGAGGTCATGAGTTCAAATCCCAGCAATCAGCAACCACAGGTGGCTCACAACCACCTGTAATGAGATCTGATGCCCTCGTATGAGGTGTCTGAAGACATCTACAGTGTACTTACATATAATAAATAAATAAAAATCTTTAAGAAAAAAATACTATTCAAACACTGTCTTTTTTTTTTTTAAGGATAGATCAAAAGAAATCTAATGCTGGTTACCTCTGAAGACTGTGAATGGGTAAAGACAAGGAAAAAAGATTCATTATTATTTTGTTACATTTATTTATTTGGAAGGGGGCACACACTGTGGAGCTTGTGTGGAAATTAGTGGACAGTGGTGGGAATCATTTCTGTCCTTTTACCATGTGAGTCCCAGAGATCAAACTCAGGGAATGAAACTTGGTTACACTCACTTTTACCCTTAACTACCTTCTATCACACAGGCAAGAGTTTTAGTTTTGATACTTTATCTTTTGGTATTGTCTGAATTTACTACCAAAAGTGTGAATCATTTTTAAAAATAAAATAAAATAAGAAACAACAGTCGTTATCAGGAAAGGAAGGAAAGGGGAAAATAGAATATCATATACAAGTTTTCAGATTTCAAATCGTTGCAAGATAACAGCACAGATAAATGTTGATTGCGTATTCAGACTAGCATCTAGGACCATCCATCAGGGAACCATATAATCTTAGTCAAGAAGTGGTTCTCATTTCTGGTACAACATCTCATTATCTAATATATTACCTAATACGACATCTCATTGTCTAGTAATGCATCTTATTAACTAGTACATTACCTAGTACAGCATCTCACTGTCTAGCACAGCATCTCATGAACTAGTATTATCCAGTACAACATCTCATGAACTAATATATTTTCTAGTACAGTATGAGTAAACACAGTGGCCCATACTTCCTGGGTCTTCACCATCACAGTGGTAGGATTACCTACATAGATACACAGAGACCTGGAAACCCTGATATTAGCAGAGAGGTACACAGAAAAGCAAAGATCAAGGCCCCAAGTTGGATGACCAGAAAAGTCAAGCGTGTTAGTTACCAAGCCTCTGTAAGGATCTGAGCTTAGGAAGGGTCCAGTGGGGTGACACAGCCTTACCTTGTAATGGTTGATGGCATTTTCAATGGAGAGCTCAGTATGGGACTGGTGCTCAGGGGATTGGAGGCATTTCTCACACAAGAGATGTCTGCTAGTCTCACAGAACCTGCGCACCCTCTTCTGGTGGGTGTGGCAGATGTAATTGTCTCCAAGAACCCCCTCGGAACAGGGCTTCCTGCAGACAGGGCAGTTGAAAACCCCAGAGACTGAAGCCTTATCCATGTGCTGGGTCAGGCATATGCGGCAGAAGAGGTGTCTGCAGTCGGTGCTCACAGCTTCCTTCAGGGGATCCAGGCAGATAGGACAAATGTCCTGGTTGTCCTTGTCAAGAGAGACCATGGTCCCACCTCACTAGTCTTCCTACTGGGTCTTTTGAAGGCAAGACAGTCCCAGGTGAGAGGGCTCAGTAGAAGTTGATCTGGAGCAAGATAGAGTGGACTCGGGCCTGGACTTAAGGCCACTGTCCACTATCGGAGAGTCCAGAATCTGGGCTGTAAGAAACACAACCCTGTAGGAATTTCAGAAAAGAAACTCAGCATTTGCTAAACCTAAAACTATTCTTTATACTATTCTTTCATACACCTGGAGAAAGCAGGTGCTCCAAACCCCAATTCTGTTTTGAGAGTTTTCTGTGGAATCTTTTTACAGTTCAAAGATAAATTTTAGGCCACCCTGTTACTATCACGGCCAGAAGTAAACTATCAGTGACAATCTGTCAGTCATCTCTACTGTGTGGCTGGCAGGGAGAACTCAGCCAGAGCTTTTTGTATCCCTCCTGGGCTGTTACCCTACAGGGTTCACTGCTACTGTTGGGTACCACCAACCTCTTAAGGTGGATCCTTGTCAGTGACTCTTTATCAAGAGTCAAGTTGTCCAAGACTGCAATGATGTCATGTTGAAAGAGAAAGAAAACAGGAGAGGGAGGAGGGGAGGAAGGAAGTGAAGAGAGAGAAAAAGAGAGAGAGAGACAGAGAGAGGGAGAGAGAAAGAGAGGGGGGGAGAGAGGAGGCTACTTTGTCCTTTCCTTTCAAACAACTTCCAAGGATGACCTAAAGAAGGAAGTACCTCCTCCTCTCCCTCCTGTCCTCCTCTTCCTCCTCCTTCCACTTCTTACCTGAACACCCTCCCCAAAATATCTCTCTTACTACCCTACCTCAAATCTCTCCTTTTCAACTTCATTTTCTTGGTCTCCAGATCTAGGGAGAAGATCTGAACAGGTGAGCCTGTTCTTCTTGAATTATGCCAATTATATACACTCACATGCCTGTAAAACTAGGGAAAAGGTGAAGAGACTCTTCCTGCTTCAGCACTGAATTATCAGGGAAGTGAAAATACTCATGAGTTGCACTCACTGAACAGGGAGACGGACTTTGTGGCAGGGTGTGGCATATTTTCTTATGGGGAAGAGGAAAGTCTCGGTTCCTTTAATGTGAATCTCACAGAACTTCAATCCAATTCTCATCGACTCGTAGAATGAGCCCCCAAGAACCTCACACGTGGAATCACAAATTCTAGATATGTCACATAACCATGACACCTGGGTGATGCTGGGGACAGTCGACATAATGTCCTTAGCGGTCCCAGCTTCAACAGTGGCGGTGCTTGGGGGATACGACAAGGTATATGTTACTCTTCTGATTGTTGGGACCAAATATCTGACAAGAAGTAAACCAAGGGAGGAAGAGTTTATCTGGGCTTATGTTTGAGGCTACTGTCCATCATGGTGGGGGAGTGTTCACAGTTGAGATGGGGTCTCATGTAGCCCAGGATAGCCTTGAACTCTATGTAACCAAGGATGACTTTTGACTTCTGATCCTCCTGTCCCTGCCTCTCAAGTTTTGAGATTTCAGGCATGAGCTACCAGTGCTGGGTGTTTCATGTATGCTAGACAAGTACCCCACATCTGAGCAACATCCTCAGCCTTATCACTCAGATTTTTTTTTTGAATTTGCATTGACAATTCTAAACGAATTCTCATGATATTTTATCAGTTTATACTCGCAGTGATGACTGACATTTAGGATTTCTACTGGCCCTCCTTGGATTCTCTCTGATGGTTGTTGATTCTCCCTCATCTCTGAGCATGTTGGAATTTTCATTCTGTTGGGATCCAGATGCTCTTAAGAGAGTCAGGGTATCACTCCCATTGACTACCAGACTAATGGACCTTGTACTGGATGGTTTTGTGTGTCAACTTGACACAAACTGGAGTTATCACAGAGAAAGGAGCCTCCCTTGAGGAAAGGCCTCCATGAGATCCAGCTGAAAGGCATTTTCTCAATTAGTGATGGGGGGGCATTGTGGGTAGTGCTATACTTGGGCTGGTAGTCCTGGGTTCTATAAGAAAGCAAGCTGCCAAGCCAGAAGAGGCAAGCCAGTAAGTAATATCCCTCCATGGCCTCTGCATCAGCTCCTGCTTCCTGACCTGCTTGAGTTACAGTTCTGACTTCCTTTGGTGATGATCAGCAATGTGGAAGTGTAAGCTGAATAAATCCTTTCCTCCCCATCTTGCTTCTTGGTCATGATGTTTATGCAGGAATAGAAACCCTGACTAAGATAGACTCCAAAGAATTTCTAGGAGCCTCACACTGGAGGAGGGAAATGATGAAGCCTTGTGCCGGTAGGAAAAGGAAATCCCCACAGCTCTGCTAGTCTCACTTCCTACTAAATTAACATATGTATATTCCCTGACCTTGCTTGTTTCAGCTATAGAATTATGAGTGCTTCAGAAGAGGAGGGAAGTAAGAATATTTCTTTCTTTTTTGGCCAAACTAAGCAATGCCACTCTTCTTTAAGAATTTCTGTTTTGGGGCTGGAGAGATGGCTCAGTGGTTAAGAGCACTGACTGCTCTTCCAGAGGTCCTGAGTTCAATTCCCAACAAACACATGGTGACTCACAATCATCTGTAATGGGATCTGATGCCCTCTTCTGGTGTGTCTCAAGACAGCTATGGTGTACTTATATACATAAAATAAATAAATAATCTTTAAAAGAATTTCTGATTCCTGGTTCCTTTTCTGATATAGGGAAGCTATTTGGCTACAGGACTTAATTCACCTAAGGACTTAATCACACTCCTTCCTCATACAGTCAAGTGAACAAAACAGAGCCAGGCTCAGATTTCACTCTCCTTCTTGTAGTTAACCCCACTAGTTAACTACTAGTTAATGGGGCCTTGAATCCCCACCCCCAGCACTAGCCCCATTTGATTCCTGTTTTGATCTCCTTATCAACTTTATACATGAGCATCCTTAGATGTCATATCAGGAGCTGAAGTTCACTGTACCTTCTAAAATGTTCTAGCCTGAATTACCTGAAACTCTGCCCAAAATAGAGCCATGGCTCCTTCCGCCAAACGTTTTAGCATTGTTTCTACACAAACAGTAGGTGGTGCTGCCTCCCAAGTTAGGACTTGGTTTCAGAATCTCATTTAAGGATTAGAAGCTGCTGCCACTGCCCTGTTCTCTCCTTCCCTTCCTTCCTTCCCTCCCTCCCTTCCCCCTCCCTTCCCCTTTCTCTTTCCCTCTCCCTCTCCCTCTTCCTCTCCCTTTTCCTCTCTCTCTCCTTCTCTCTGAATTTATTTGTATGTATGTGTGCCTTGTACATAATCACCATGGATATCAGAAGAGGCTCTCAGATCCTCTGTAACTGGAGTTATAGGCAATTGTGAGCCATGTGGGTGCTGGGACCCAAACCTGAGTCCTCTGCAAGAGCAACAAGTGCTCCTATGTTGAGCTATTCACCAGGTTTCCAGGCTATTTCTTTTAGAAATTATGGCTGAGACTAGAGAGATGACTCAGTGAATGAAAACACTTGTCTCACAAGTTTGATGACCTTGATGGTCACGTTTCCATCCCTAGAACACATTTAAAATGCTGGATGTAGCCTGGCAGTGGTGATGCACACCTTTAATCCCAGCACTTAACAACAACAAAAAAATGCTGGATGTAGTGGTGCATACGTGCAGTTCCAGAACTCCCAAGGCAAGATGGGAGATAGGAGAATGGGTCAGAACCTTTCAGGATGGAAAGTGAAAACAGACTTCTGAAGTTTTTCCTCTGTTCTCTACATGTCCCTAGATCATATAGGCTATGGCATGGTCAGTATACACACGCAAACATAAGCACACACAAGCACACACATGCACACATATGTGAATATGCACAAACACAAGCACCCACATGCATACACAAGCACACACACATGCACACACACACATGTACACACACACACATGCATGCTCACATAACAGAACAGAACAAACCTGTCTGTGAAGTCTGTGCTGTATTCAGTTGCTAGAGCTCTACCTAGCAGACATGAGGTTTGATCTCTAGCAGCACATAAAGCTGAACACGGTGAATGAATAATTTTAATTCCACCACTTAGGAGGTGGAGGTCAAAGGATCAAAAGTTCAAGATCATCCTCAACTATATATTGAGCTGGAGGCCAATCTGAGGCTGGACCAAGGAGGAGAGTGTACCTGTGAGACATCTTGGCTGCTGTGCAATTATGTCCTTTGATAAACCCCACCTCTATCCAAAATGTAAACACCAACTCCAGGGAACTGCCAGCCAATATGTTGAATAGAACTACACAATCCAGAAGGCACTTAGGGAAACCACAGAAAGGTTTGAGGCTCTAAGTTTGAGCATAAGGATCCCAGAAAAAAAAAAATGAGGCAGCTCTTTGGACTCAGGAGACATGGAGGGCTATTGGCAGGAGCTCCTGAATTCTACCTGATGGCCTGGAGGAACAACCTCAAACACTCAGTAGTGGTCTCAAGTAGAGTGAAGTATGAAAAACTCAACTCAAGCTGAGGTGGCTCGTGCCTGTGATCCCAGCACTAAGAAGGAGTTAAAGGCAGAAGCTCAAGGTCCTTCTTGGTTATAAAGTGAGTTGGAGGTCAGCCTGAGCTACACAGATTGATCTCTAAAAGGCAACAACAACAGTAATAATGAACCAAAATGAATCAGGGGATGGTAGAACATGCCTGTGATCTCATGATTTGGGGGATAGTCAGGAAGCTGTGGTACAAAACTGTGGTGGCCACAGTCTCTTCAAATTGCCTGAGCATAGATTCTAAGTGTTATCACTATAACAAAAAAAAAAAACAAACAAACAAAAATCCAATTATCCCGGAGTATATTGAGGTAATTAGTCATTCAGTAGATAAATAATCCTTATTTACAGTCTTAGGAGACATCCAAAAAGCACAGCAGATGGAGCAGTGTGGACAACTGGGCTGTAGATACTGTAAAGAGAGATGTCTCTATCTCTTGAGTGGAATGGGTAGGATCATCTGACTTGTTAGACACACCTGTATCAACAAAAGCATAA